ATACAAGTCTCAAAGACGCAGTTCCTGATATGCAAAACGAAAGAGTAGGTTGAAGTTTTCCCAGTGATGGCTACCAATAAGTAGCGAACGTAGCTCTCTGGTTGAGTTTTTGTTTGTAGAATATATCTGCACCCTAGAATGAGAAAAGTAAGCAAAATTCATCAGGTAGACTTCAAAGTTAGTGTCTGATGTCATGCTTCGCGGTGTTAAGTCCAACCCATGAAGGGTAGCAGGACTTTCAGGCATCTCGTGCCGTAATTCTCCGACGAGCGATTGAAGTTATTGAGGAAAAACAACAGCAACGGGCTGAACTTCAGGCTAACTGCGACCGTCTGCGAAGTGAAACTGCTGAGCTCGAAAGAGAGGTCAAACCAACAATTTTTTTTAGGTTTCATTAGCAGGGGACTGATAGGATCTTTTTCAGATAAGAATGATCAAAGAGAACTTGGCGAAACCGCATGAGGCACCTTTGTTCGAACACAATCGCCCAAATCTTATTTATCCCAAGTCACCACAGCCAACCTCAGTTTCAGCTGTGATGAAAACGGAACATGGAAATGTATGTTTTGGTGTTTTTCAAGTCAGGTTTCGAAAATTTTCTGTTTCTTTGAAAAGAATGAGAACTGTGACGTCGCACCCAAAAAGTAGTGGCAGTTGCTTGTAACTTTTTCAACCCTTTGCCTCATTTTCTCGTGTTCATTGAACTGAGTAGTCTTTGCGTGAATGGGAGCTATCGCGCCCAGCCATTGAACCATAAAGGAGGAATTCACGATAAGGACGAAGGTCAAAGAAGAGGAAAATTGCATAGTTGGGAGACAGGCGGGACCTCCTGAGGGTGCTGACCGACGCGCAATTGGCAGCGAAAGATTTGACCTTGGCGACCTAGCATGGCTCACTCTTGGTGCCTATGGATTTTCTTTTTCTTATCTAATTCTTTTGACAAATCAATCGCAGCAGGTGGAGGTGGTGTCCTATTCTATGGTTTAAGTTCAGCAATATGGATCAACCGACCCCGGTTAAGCCTTCTTAGTCGGAGTCGGTTTGTTAGAACCAGTCAGCCTGTGTAGATAACCAGCATTTCCGGCATTGGCTGCCCTAGCGAGTGTTTTGTTGACTGAGCTCACTCCTGTGATCTGAATGGATATCTAATGCGAGTGAAAATTTAGAATCATCGTTGATCATTCTACTTCTTTTTTTTTACTCGTACTGAGCCATCAATACTGTGAATAGTTCTCTTTCATTTCAGTGAGATGGAAATATACTGTAAAGCAGAACGAATTGGACGGAAACCGGAATTCGCATCTACGTCGACGTCGTGATATTCGACTGTCCACCAAGTAATCTAATGTAGCCTGATTATCAGGATTACAACTCCTTTTACGTGTACAAAACTTCAAAAGTAGTACATAGTTTTGAATAAATCTCAGTGAACCTCTGTGAATCGTTTATACTTACTTTTGGCTTATGGTTAGCAACTTCACAACTGTATAACTTGCTCCAAAGTAAAACACAATTCAGAGGAATCGTTGTGACTACGGAGAGCGTGATCTGATAAGGAGGTGGGAAGTTCACAGAGGGAGATATAATGTTTGTTGAAAATAGCCCTCAAGAAGATAAACACTCACTAACAGTTGGTTCCAGGTATCTTATGTGCTTGTTGTCTGCAGTGAGTTGGATGGCTAACCCCCATGCTGAAAGACACTCGCACCGTTGGCGAAGCTTTAGATTCTTCACCTTGTACTCTGGCCGCTCACGACAACTGCCGTTTTCGCCAAGGAATCGAAGATAAGGTGGGCCGGACACGTCATGCGATTTTGCGATGACCGTTGGACCAGAGCGGTTACCGACTGGATCCCTCGGGACGTCAAACGAACACCTGGACGACCGCCGGCCCGATGGTCAGACTTCTTCACGAAAGCTCTGAACGAAAGGAATGAAGGACATCGTGTCCCTCGAGCGAGGAGGATCCACTGGGCCACCCTAGCACGCGACAGGGACGAGGAGACCGCGTGCTGGAACCCTTGAGCAGAATCTACCATCCACCGGATGATATCAGGTGCCATGACATAGGCGCCCGAAGCTGAATGGATGAATAAAAAAGGGCTGGCTTAGTAGCAGATGCCTGAAAATCATCGGAAGAAAAGGTGACAACCGTCCGGCTAATTGAGACGGCTTTTATTAAATCCTCCCACAACCGGCTATCCATTCAGAAGTAATATTTTCACCGTAACCCCAACAGAACCTTTCAAAGGCTGCTGTTAACTCTCCCGATTACACCGGTCTGGGTCGAGCACCTATTGCTTTTAATTGAGATCTTTATCAAAACAGAGATTGGGGTGAACGAAGATGAAAATTACCGGTGTTTCAATACTCGAAGATGAGATTTTTCTTTAAACACTGGGATAAAAATCGTTGAGATTTTCAATCTATTTGATATTTTGCTGCGAAAGTGGAAAGAGAAACTACGTTCGTCTTCGATTTCCCACGGTTGTACAAAGGGGTGGGAACCTCCATGTAGAGGAGTGCCGCTGTCCGGCCCGAGTGTGATGGGGCAGCTAAACAGACAGACCCCCTTGAAAGGAACAATGACTGATAATCCTGTGGAATTACTGGAGCCAGGTTCGAAGCAGTTCTGCTCACGAGTCGGCAAGCAGCTGTAATGTCGCGTAATGTTCAGCATTTGGCACCCTCCCCTTTAGCTCATTCTCGCCTCACTATCCCATTCAGCCTAGAAGGCTCCCTTATAAGAACCTTATTACCCGGCGCAACGACACCCTCCCCATCACGGCTTTTCTATGTAGCATTCGATTCCGAGCCCACGTCCACAGTTCAGCCGCACTCCCGCCCACTTTTTTACTTCAATCCCGCCCTAAAGGCCGTCCGCACCGACGCCGCCCCAACGCCGGGAGGGAGGGCAAGGCGGGGGGGCGGCGACAAATCTCCATTTTCTTTTTGGCCCCTAGACTTCCCATCTACTTTCGCAGGCTTTTCCGCAATTTCGTCAACAAAAAAATCACTCTGTCCACAACAGAGCCCTTTTGACGACCGCAGCCTTCCGTTACTTCACTAAATCGATAGCCCTTACCATCGTTCGAATAGTGCGAACGGACGGTTGACCCCGGTTCTTCGAAGTCGAAGCGAGAATCAGCGGAATGCATACTAGGAAGGAACATAGTGCTAGGAAGCAGCAAGGATCCTCTCCAGCCTCTAGACGCATCCGTATCTTTTACGAATGCGGTCCGGGGCGTCTCTTTGAACAATTTTTGGTGCTAGTGGGGAGGACTTCAAGAAGAAAGAACTTCGAGAGAACCAACTCTCATCCACTCGATTCCCCTTCTTCGCTTGGCCTGTAAGCGTAGCGTCACCTTGTTATTCCATGTCGTCCGCCTCTTTTAGCGCTGACTTCATCGCGCATACACGCAGAAACGCCACAGCCCCCTTTGCGCCACACCCCCCTTCCCGGCTGAGACCGTATGCTGAATGTTGGGGAGGGGATGGTGTCCCCGACGGTGGACGGACAACTTCAACGCGGTCCTTAGAACCGCCACAATTTGGCGCTTACCTTAGAACTAAGCCTTAAAGAGAGGACGGGTCCGTCCCCTCTCCTAGGACGTAAGCAAACCAGCCCTTTTGGCACATCGGCTGGGACCGTATGCTGAATGTTGGGGAGGGGATGGGGTCCCCAACGGTCGACGGTTTACTTCAACTCGGTTGGTACGATAGGAGAGTACTGACGCAAGTGGTGCAGCTGGTCCAGTAGCTTCGCCAGAAGGACCGGTCTGCTCACCCTTGGACTAAGCCTAGGAGAGGGGACGGACCCGTCCTCTCTTTAAGGCTTAGTTCTAAGGTAAGCGCCAAATTGTGGCGGTTCTAAGGACCGCGTTGAAGTTGTCCGTCCACCGTCGGGGACACCATCCCCTCCCCAACATTCAGCATACGGTCCCAGCCGATGTGCCAAAAGGGCTGGTTTGCTTACGTCGCCTACGACTCATCCGCTCTTCTCAGGGCGGCAGCCCATCGGCGCCGCCGACCGGAGAGAAGACGTCTGCAGCAGCGCCGAGACACACCTCCGTTCTCTAATTCTCAAATTCATTCTCAATTTATTAGCATGCTACTCCTGCATGTCTTACACACAACCAACGCTATATACAAATACAACGCGCTCAAAAAAGAGAGACGGGAAAAACCGAATCAGCAAGCATCGAATATATTAATGAACGGAAACGCAGATAATGAGATACCTTGCTTTTGAATGTAGAAAAGGATGTTGATATTGGGAAAAGTTTGCTCATTTTCGAATACTCCACACCTGCACGAAACGTGAAAAACCTGCGCCCAACCGACGAACGCGGCCGCCGAAAAGTAAGCTTGAACCTCTCTCCCCTTGTGCAAGCTCCGGCCCCTTCGAACCATACCTATACAAAGTCCTACGACTGTCAAGATCAACCGCACATCGGTTTGAGTATCCCCCCCTTATACCATGAGTATGTTTATTCCTCCGCCTCATTTGCGCACGGTCTACACACCCGAGGCCTCCCTCTGTCTCGCTACCTCAACCCCCACGGAGGGATGCTCCCTGTACGCTAAATCCCCCCTAGTGTCCTAATAAAATACACTTTTCCCTGGCAACCACAGTTACTTCTGCGTCTCTCTATCACCTTTGCTGAGCCAAGCGGCTTTGCTATAAGCAACAACTCACAATCGCCAAGTGCGTCATCTCCAATCAGAACCCAAACGTAAAAACAATAAAGCATTTCTGTATGCCTCTTAAAAGCCGACTAATGGATCCTTTAGTTATCAAAGACCTATGATAGGAAACCCTCTTAGCAATCCGGCTTTTGGCAGCAATGCTCTCCTCAAATGCTTCCTCAAAACCGCAAGTCTTGAAGTCGATAATGAAGCCTACAGACGTCCTTTACCTATCTTGTATGGCTCATCTGATGTCTTAAGATGAACACTCTAGTCAATCCCTACCTTTCCCTGTCGGACAAGCAGAATGATTTGCAGCTTCCCACCTCCCCTGCGTGCGCGCGCGTTACATGGTAGCAGCGCAGGTGGTTCACCCCTCGCTAGTCCTGGGATGGTTGGACCGCAGCGTGCAAGACATGAGCGCAAGTTCGCACGTCCCTGTTTCTCCATATTTGTCCGTGCGTGCTCAGCCGTACCCAGACCCTATCCCGTTTATCGAGCTACAGCACATGGAGGATGCTATCAATTTCAGGTACGGGACTGAAAGTACGATCACAACTCCTATCAACGGCCCGCGTTAAGCTCAGATGAACGACGTCCAGCCACCCCCGCCTGCCCCGCTAATCCCGACCAACCTGACTACACGTCGGCCCATCCCGACCTACCACCGCGTGAAGGGCGCCCCCGCCCCGATCCTCTATCAGATAGTTTCTACAGGTTGGGGGACCGGCGTGATTTTGGAGGCCAAGGACTTTTTCGTGGTCGGTCCAGATCATCGGGACCTCCACTGCATTGTGCTGGACCAATTTGCAATTAATTACATTACAGGGCTGCGCGGCCCCTTCAATGCAACGCGGCTTTCCAGTTAGGGATTTCGTCCCCCTGCCCGTGTTCCGCATGTCCACACCCCACCCCTCGCCATCCAGACCCAGCAGTCACCTCCGCGTTGCGCCCGTCTTCCCAACGGCCCACGTCTGCGCCCCCCCACGCTTTCGCGACGACATTCACACACGCCCCCTCTCTCTCGCCGCCGGCACAATTCACACTCCGCCATGCTCGAGCCGCTGTGTCTCCGCCCATAAGCGGGCGTTGAGGACTTCTCTCGACCGTGCGTTGCGAGTGCAGCACGCAGGGTTGACCATCTCGCTCCAGACCCCGCAGGCCATATTACGCCGCGCTCGCGAGCGTCCTCCGACGCACCGGGCGTGTGACATCACACCTCGGCCTCTTTCTTTCAGGGTCTCATATTTTTTCTCACACCCTCGTCACCAGTTATACGGACCCCAGTATCCCACCTCGTCACGCCGGTGACGCTGCCCGACCCAGTATACGGGATCATCCTCTCGCGGAAGATAACGCGTAAAGGGACGGTAGCGTCAGTCAAAGCGGTGTTTGAGGGGGCTCCCGACGCGGTGACGCTTACCCACTCCATCTGCGACTTCAAGCTGACATAGTGCTGGCGTCCTCGCGCGTCAACACCTCGTGCGCTATGCGGTTTTCAGAGCCCCCGTCTCTCTGGAGGCCCGCACACAGCTGTGTGCCCACATCCGCCAGATCCTGCCCATGCATCCGGATGAAGGTCTGGTCCCCCTGCGCGTCTGGAAGCTCAGCGAGAACGACCGCGCTTGGTTGACGGACAGAGCGGGAGCCTTCGACAGCTACCGGCTCGACCGCGAAGCGGCAAGGGTTCGCATGTCCAAGCTTTTCAACGTCGCATGCTCGACACTAGCCGCGGTAAACTCTGCTGACGACGACCGCCTGTCACACAGGGTGACGGCCACCGTCCCACGACCATACCACTACCCAATGCGGCTCTCCTTCATCCTGACCAACATGAACTCAGAAGCCGGTTGGTGCGTTCAACGTCCCGTCGCGTTGCACGTTGTAGGGCACAACAGCATAGCACGCGCAAAAGTCGTTAGCGTTGAAGTGCTGACCGGTCAGCACGCGCTGAAGGTCTACATCGAAGCGTTCACATGGTCTCACCAGAGCATCTGCGGCGCGGTCTTTCAGCAGGGTCGCCATTCTGGGATGGTCACCTTCGTGGACATGGATGTGCGCCTCGGCAGGCAAACCACCCGGGCCAACCCCATATACGAGGCCATCTCCCACATGCACATCTATGCCGACCTCCCCCCACCTCCATGGCCAGTAGGATAGTGGACGCCGTGTACGGCCTCCCTGAAGCTGCTCAACAAGCACTCCCGGAGGAACAGGACCCTGTCATCGTCGCCCCAGCGTTCCAAATCCGGGGAATCGCGGTGCAGCTCACAGGAGACCAACAGGAGGCCGTGCGTCTAGCCATCGGTCCACAACCCATTGCGGCTATCCAGGCGGCCTTTGGCACAGGGAAAACAATGGTGGGGGCCATCATCGCGGCGCTAATCGCGTCACGCTCTCAGTCTACGGTGGTCGTTACGGCCACCACAAATGCGGCGGTTGCCCAATTTACAGAGACCTTGTTATCGTTGACGGATTTCGCACACCTTCAGGTCGTGCGTTATCTGTCCGACACGGCGGCTTCGGAAAATCTGTACCCCACCAGGGTTGACTTGAATGCCATCCTCAAGTCCCTGGGAGAAGACTATGCCTCTCGGCTCACCCGTGAAGAACGTGAATTCTGCCTGGAATTCAAACGGAAGCGTGAAGTGCTCGAAGCCTATCTCGCAGAGCCGACTCGCTTTGTGAACATGACCGAGGAAGATCAGCACGAGTACGAGATTGCCGAACGCTCCGTGTCGCGTTCCACTGAAAAGATGGTTCGTTACATGTTCAAAGTTCGCTGCCCAGCGATTATATGCCTTACCACAGCGTCTCTCCTCAATACCACGGACGTCGCGGACGGCATCTTCCGGCAGTACGTTGGCTCGTTCGGCACTGTGATAGGAGATGAAGCATCACAGATTCCCGAGCCGGCGTTAGCAGCTATCGCCAGCCGGGTGCCCAACGCGCAGCAGCGCTACATAGGGGATATCCACCAGCTGGAGCCTCACGCCCGCTGCGCCAGGTCTTCCAATCCAGCTCGTTTTGGGGCGCGCAGTGTTATGGCAGTGCTGGTGGAGGCACCGGCGGTTCCAAAAGCCCCTTTAGTCACTACTTTCAGGGCTCATCCTGCGCTGAATGCGCTCCCCAACATTGTGGCTTATAATGGGGCGCTTATTAGCGGCGCAGACCCAGCATCGCGCCAGCTACTTTTGGGCATCACGCAGTTCCCAACGCCGGAGGTGCCCTTCCTCCTACTCGACGTGAAAGGCCCGTCGGTTAAAGCGGCGAGTAAGTCGCATTACAACGTGAGCGAGGGCACCGCCTGCGTGCACCTAATAGAGCGCCTGCTGGCCAGACTGCAGCCAGCGCAAATTTGCGTAATCTCTTTTTACAGGGAACAGTCGCGGCACCTCAAGGAACGCTTGGATCGACTCGGTGTGGAGCTTACGACGGTGGACTCCGTGCAGGGCAGAGAGAAAGAGGTAGTCATTCTTTTGACTACACGCACCGATTTTTCAGCTGACTCGGCTGACTTCCTGGACGACTATAAAAGGATGAACGTCGCTCTCACCCGCTGTCGTCACGGTCAATTCATCCTTGGGCACGCGGCTGCTACTGTACAGCCGAGTGTTCACTAATCCCTCCGTGTGTGACCTCGTTGCACGAAGCGTGAGGTTTTGATTCTGTCTTCTCGCGTATTCGATCCAGACTTGGTCCCCCAACAGATGGCCCCTTTGCTCAGCCCATGTTAAAAAGTCGAAGAGGCCGCGAGAGCGGTGGAGCAGATGTCTCCGAACAAGGGCTACAGTAATAGGTTTTTGATCTGGGCGCGCAAGTGTCAATTCGAAGTCGATGTTCTAAAAAAGTTGTTCTTAGTGTCGCCGTCCAGATGTCAATTCGTTCTGGTGAGTTTTCCTCTTTGAATGCCTTGTGTCCTTGTTTTGTGTGTCGTGTAGTGATCGCCTTGGTTGTAACGAGGTAATCGTCGTCAAAAAAGACAAGAAGGAAACAGTGAAAACCCGATCGTTGTCAAGGTCTAGCGTACGAGTACATGGAGGTACTACGTGTTAAGAAGTGTTGTAAAGGCCAGGCCTGGCGAGTTGATGAGATAATGCCCATTTCAGATAAATGGAAGTGCACCAGAGTGCAGAAGAGAAGTTCCGTCGTGTGCGCGTCAGTCGAAAATCGACAGAAAGTCTCCGAGCCGATGCGAGCAAAGCTCGGAGAAGTAAAGCGACGAAGCGCTGAAGGTTCATGGAGAAATGGTATGAGCATTTTATAGTTGGAGAAGTATGGTGTTTGGAGTTGAGAGGTTGGTGAGTTGAATAGGGTCTATATGAAATTTTTGAGTTCACAAAGATACCTAAGTATCAAGTGGCACCGTTCCAACTAATTGCGTGTGTATTTATCTTTGTTCTTATATTTATTATATTTGAGTTTGTTTTTGAACACAATGGTTCAATGCGAAAAGGTTGTGTCGTTCTTATGCCACCTTGTGGAGCTAGCAGATCGATTACACGACAGACTGTGGGGAGAGAGTAGCCAGGCCGGTTGGCCCAATACATATAACAATTATCGATAGTTCAAAACATAGACTTGATTATTATCGATGGGCGTACTATGGATCCCCCGGTTGAAGACGCTTCGCGATCTCCCGATGCCTGTCGTACCCAATGAGCCACTTTCAGATATGACCGCTTTGGCTCACGCCGACAGCTCTAGTACTGAGGAAATTACCTCATCGAGTGGCAGTTCTTCGTCTTCGTCAAGCTCGACTTCTCGAGGGCTTGACCTGTCAGAAGAAGCCCTCCTGGCTTCTGACAACGAGAATGACGAGTCGATGGATGAGCCCGTCGCGTCTACTCTCGCGCAGTCGATGGAAGACCTCTCCCTCAAGGGTTGGAGCACCAACCCCCCATCCCTCGCCGGATTCGGCGCCCCAAGTTCCTTTCGGAGCAACAGGCTGGCTGACGTGCCAGCTTCCCTCCAGTCGTGGTGGGAGGGGTGCTAGCTATAGCAACGTCGTCCACAAGTCCTCCGGCAATGTTGCCGCGGTCCTAGTGCGCCTAACGCCAGTTTCCCGGGCGCTGGTGGTTTCTTTGCCGGTACGGTACTCTTCCGGCATCAATACAAGTGCCGGGGTCGCCGCCACGCCAGGCGCGGCCGCTCACAGGCCCCACGGCAACGCACCCCACCTGGGCGCCTGTCGGTTCCCCAACTGCCGAGGGCAACCCCCGCCCAATTATACCAACTACCTTGCGGACTACCATCCTTGGGGTCGCCTGGTCAATCCGCGCCCTCGGCAAATGGTAACTTACGGGTACAACCGGGTCACCAATGAGGTGTCCGTGGGCACGTATAAACACCTGCCGGACGCGGGCTACATGAGCTCAAAGTTCGCACGGTCCCTCTTCCCCAATTGTCTGCGTGCCTCCAGCCGTAATCGTCCCCAGACCCTAATCTCCGTTATCGACGCTATAGCACATGGAGATGCTATCAATTTCAGGTACGGGACTGAAAGTACGATCAAACTCCTCATCGACGGCACGTACGAGGATGAAGACGTCAGCACCCTGCCGCTCAATACCGACAACCTGATAACAGTCGACCATCGACCCTACCACGCGTGAAGGGCGCCGTCCGATCCTACACCTCAAGGTAGTTCTACAGCGTTGGAGACCGCGGATTTGAGGCCAAAAAGACTTTTTCGTGGTCGCCCAGTCGTCCCGGAAAACCCTCCACTGCTTTTGTGCTGGACCACAATTGCCAATTATTACATTACAGCTGGCGCGCTTCATAAACGCCGCGTCAGTTAGATTCTGTCTCTGGTACATGTCAAGCCCACCCTGTAGCACCAGAAACCTCAGGCATAATTGGCCAAGCGGCTCGCAGTCCTCGCACCACCCCCGCGTGGACATCAACTCGGCCTATTTTTCAGGTCCATACTTCTCTCCTCACGCAACAGTAATAGGGGGGCGACAAATCCATTTTTTGCCTAATTCCCATTACTTTCGCAGACTTTCACCAATTTCGTCAAAAAAAAACTCCGTCCAAACAGAGCCCCTTTAACGACCGTCACCTTCCGTTATCACTAATGATAGCCTTACCATCGTTCGAATAGTGCGAACGGACGGTTGACCCCGGTTCTTCAAAGTCGAAGCGAGAATCAGCGGAATGCATACTAGGAAGGAACATAGTGCTAGGAAGCAGCAAGGATCCTCTCCAGCCTCTAGACGCATCCGTATCTTTTACGAATGCGGTCCGGGGCGTCTCTTTGAACAATTTTTGGTGCTAGTGGGGAGGACTTCAAGAAGAAAGAACTTCGAGAGAACAACTCTGATCCACTCGATTCCCCTTCTTCGCTTGGCCTGTAAGCGTAGCGGTCACTTGTTCCAGTCAGTCCCTTCTTTTAGCAGTGACTCATCTCTTTCAGGGCGGAGACCATCGACGCCGCCGACCGAGAGAGACGTCTGGCAGCAGCGGCCGAGGACCGCGACCTCTTCCTCACCTCCGCTTCTCACCTTCCAAGGGCGACGCCCTCAACACCTAGAGCTGCATACGATCTGATCGTTCTCTTTGCCTTTGTTTGTAGTGTACTCATATCTCCAATGGTTCATTGTGCCTTTTATTCGATGTATTTCTCGTGTATATCTCGACGTCTGTCTGGTAACTTGTATTGGTATTGATGTCTTAAGGATAAAACTTAGTAATCTACTTTTCTGTGGACAAGAGAATGATCTTGCAGCTTCCATTGTGTGCGCGCGCTTACTGGCCTCTGGGAAAGGGCAAACTTTGGAGTGAGCAGGAATTGTTCTCCCGAAGAGTCTTACTTCTATTCAAGGATCGGCGAACCATCCCAACTCACGCAGCACTCAATGTGGCTGAATGGTCAATGAAGGTCGGTGCTGCAGATGATATAACCTACCCTTCAAGAAGCGAGAAAGTGTCGGTGCAGACCATGCACCACAAGTGACGACGGCCTTCACAAAATGTTAATGTTTTCTGCCAATGAAATGATTAGCCTGTTGCAGTTGTATTCTATCGATTTGTCACTAATTACAACTATCACCAGAAATCAGCTATCACTATGAACAACTTCTAACCAGATTTACTTGGAGGCCGTCGTCAGTTGTGGTGTTTGGTCTGCACCCGACACTTTCTCGCTTTTTGAAGGGGAGGTTACACGGAACGACACTGCTCTGTTGCCACCCGGCCGCTGGCGGGTTTCCCTAGCATTGACAAAGAAGGTTCGAAGGTATTTTCTGTTCCATTAGGGAAGGATAGCAGTGGCATGCCAGGCACATGGCGTCAAAGAAGTTGTTTTGCGCAAACTTACGTACAACATATTTCGAATGGCGCCATCCCAAAACTTGATTGCTTCTTGTCCTTTTTTTCCGTTTTTTTGGTAGGATGATTTGTGGTTTTCGCATGTTTGGCTTTTGATTTGTATAGACCATATTGATGCTCAACGGACTTCTTGTCTTGTTCAATTCTAGCCAACC